AAACCAATTAGCCTTCAATTTAAAAATAAATAAAAAGCAAGAATCTATCTGCTAATGCAGGGGACCTGGGTTCGATCCCTGCTCCGGAAGGACTGCATGAGCCTAGGGGCATCTAAGACTTGGAGCCTACAGCCTGTGTTCCACAACAAGAGAAGCTACCACAATAAGAAGCCTGTGCACCACAACTAGAGTATTCCCTGCTCACAGCAATGAAGACCCAGCTCAGCCAAAAATAATAAAATTTAAGAAGAACGGCATCACCGACTCAATGGACATAAATTTGTGCAAACTCTGGGAGACAGTGATGGACAGACAGGGAAGTCTGGTGTGCTGCAGTCCATGGGTTGCAAAGAATCAGACATGACTGAGTGACTGAACAGCAACAATAACAAAAAAGAATAGTGTTCTGTTTTTATTATTATTTTTTACAGAAATGGATGAGGGCCAGGGCATATTAAATATAAAAATGGAGAGGTAGGCTAGGGTCAGTTCATGGGTTTCTATTAATCCAAAAGGCTGTGGGATGATTAATGAAGACTTTAAGCAGGAGATCAGATTTGTTTCAGAAACCAAACTGCAACAGCTGTGTGCAAAATGGATCAGAAGGGATTCAGACTAGAAACAGAAAGGCCAGTAGGAAGACTGACAGCATCAACCAGGCAGTGAGGACAGAAGGGCTGAAATGAACCTGAGATATACCTGGAGGCAATCAGGTATGGAGACAGGTGATAAAGATGACATTTTGATTTGTGGCATAAAAAGCTAAGTAAAGGGTGGCACCGTCAATCAAGATGTGATCATTTGAGTAAAGAAACAGCTTTTCAAGGGGAGATCGTGAGCTCCATTTCAGTCATACTGAACTTCAGTAAAAGGTGATGTCCATCCAGTCAAAAGCTGGATATATTGGTGGAAGAACTGGGCTGGAGACACAGATTTCAGGCAGATTAGCAACATCTACCTGCAAACTGAAGCCAGGGGATGAATGAGACAACCTGGGAGGCTGAGCAAAGGTAGGAAGAGGGTCAAGGGTAGAGGCTTCAGAAGCACAGATATTTAAGGAGCTCTAAAGCAGACAGAGAAGAATAATCAGAATCATAGAAAGAAATTCAGTCAAGTCTCGTGTACTGAAAAGGAGGGAGAAAAGTCCGAACAAGACTGTGATGTTTTAAATACTACAGAGAGAGCACATAAAAGACTCAGAAGTGTCTCTGAGGGAAGCATTGGTGTTCTAGGCAGGTTCAGTTTCAACAACATGGAGTAGCCAAAGCCAGATGGTAAAGAATGCATAGCGAATGGACGCAGAGTTAAAATTGCTTTCAACTCAATTAACTTGGCTATGAAGAGAAGGGAAGAATAAGAAAAGCAGATTGTAGTAAGAGAAGACTAAAGACAAATTTTTAAGAATCGCTTTTAAAAGGGAGGTTGGGGGGAACTGAAAGCCACAAAATCCTTAGACCAAAAGAAACAGAATTCAGGGCACGTAGGTAGAAAAATGAGTTTGGAAAGAAAGAGGGTGAAATCTTGCAGAGATGGGAAAGGGGAAGATAATAAAGCAGGCAGGAGGAAGACAAGTTTGGGGTTCAGAGACTAAGGAATTAAAGGCACTTTCCTGATAAGCCGGTGTCTTTCCCCAGAAAACAGATGAGTTTGTAAGCTGAAAGTGAGAGAGAAGGAGGTAGGGGGCTTGACTGAAGACGTTTGTTAAAATCTAAAATGGCTGTTTGTAGTGAATTAACAGCATAAAGACAGCATTTATGGAAAATTAATCCAGCTGTATTATGTAGCAAGAAATGGGAGAGCAGAAACTCTGCCATTAGAAAAGGCATCTCTAGAAGGCTATTGTGTTAATATAGATCCAAGTTGCTGATTGCATGAAGCAGAGTAACAGCAAGAGAAATAGGAAAGAACTGATAAGGGAATTTTACTAAATCATCACCTAATCACTAAACTGTTTTCTCCCAAAACTCCATGGGTCACAAAGGCAGGACCAAACATTGTTAATTTCAGCTCTTGGTGGGAACTAAAGCTATGGATGGCTGGTCCCTCCCTGACTTTTAGGCTTCCCAGTCCAGGATGGCTGTACCACTTCTTAAAAAAAACTCAGTGAACCACTGAATCTGAATGGCCTTGCCAATTTAAAGCACACCTGTAACCAACTACATCCTGTATAAGCGGTGATCACCGCTGATTAATAAGCTGTACAGGTGACTCTGGGATACAGATGAGTATGAAAGTGAGTTTTAAAATCAGCATTAGTGTTAAACATGTTGGTGTTGAAATGAGACTAGGACAGTACAAATGGAAATGAGAAGCAGGTACGTGGTTAAGTCGGGAGTAGGAATAAGCAATGAGAGATAAAAAGTGGATAACCATTAGCACAGAGAGGATAGGTGAAGCTATGACTTAACAAAACACCAAAGAGAAATCATTTACAGACAGAAAATAGCAGGATCAAGGCAACTCTTGGACAAGATGAAGCCAGAGGGCTTAATTAGAGCTTGTTTGTTTTAAGTGTTATATCAAGGCAAGATGGGGGCATTTACAGTACTTGGCATGTCATCTCTGAAGTTCAATTATGAAGACTGATGATCAGCAATGTTTTTGATAATCTGTATGGCATCTTTTCTCTCAAGAAATATGACATAGTAATGCTTTGAGACACATTTACTTAACCTACTTCCAATATTGATCTTCTCAAATTAACTGCATGGAAAGAAATCATTTCAAGTTCTTTACATTATAGAAAGGGGCAAAGAGGTCTGGCCAAGAATATGTAAACTAGAGAGAAATACAAGAACTCAGCACATGTGCAGAGGGACACACCAATGCAATCACCAGTAGCGTTTCTCTTTCAATGGAATTCCTGCCTGTCTGCTGATCTGGGTGCAAGATAATTTCCCCCACGGTGAAAACTGCTGTTGAGAGGCAGAACTCTCCACCATCTGTTACTGAGAATTAGCATAATGATGGATTATCTAATCCCTTACATTTAACAGATACAAGTGGTGCTCTAACAACGCCAGTTTTGTTCACATCCTCATTCACGTGTCCTATCCCCACCCCTTATATAAAAATTGATCCTCCCACCCTGCTGGTGATGAAGCTGGTCCGGATTTTACCCCCAATCTTGCCTAAGAGTCCAGGTGCTTTGCCATGAGACGCTGTGCTAACCCATTTTATTCAGGAGTGAGAATGCAGCTGTTATTCCAGATGCAGCTAAAAAAGAAAGAAAAATTGTCACTAGGAGACCAGCAAAACGACTCATGCAGGCAGTGCCTTCCTTCATAAATGAGACCCGGTTGAGAACTTCAACCAAGACAAAGCCAAGGTTAAGTCAGTGCTGATCTGGTGAGAGTGACAGATGGAAGAAAAAGAAACCAAGAAATTAAGTGGGTAGCACAGTAAAAGACTGCTGTTCTCCAGGTTCAAGTGTGCCAAAGAGCAAGACTTAGGAAGCATTAAAGAATGAGAATCAGACTTCCAGAAAAAACAAGGACATGCTTATAGGATCAAATACCTAGGAGAGAACATTCAGCGAGGAGTGGCTGGATGGCTGCCCGGGGCACCCAAGGCAGGGAGAGAACTGTACTGTCATCAGTGACCAGCAAAGCCACAGTTCAATCAGAAAGAAGTGAAATTTAAGAGACTGTATAGAAAACAATTTTCAAATACAGCCACTTCCACATAATTTGAGTCTCGGTAAGAGTCAAGAGAAAACATTTCAAGAAAAAGTACTTGCACTTAACGTGATACCAGGGCTGCTTTTGCTGGGGAAGAGGGGTTGGGTGGGGGATTGTGCATCTTTATCAAGTTTCTGGATATAAGTGAAATTGTTTATTTATAACTTATTAAATCTAGAAGTACTGTTTTGGTTAAAACCCTACTTTTTACCCCCTCCATACTCTGCACAAAGGTATTTAATATTAGAACATACACTATCATTACAGAAAATTCTGAACTAGTTCTCTCTCATCTTACCCATCTCACTTTTTCAACATGCTCTATGCCTTCAGAAATTCTTCCCGCATTTTCATAATATTCAGATGACTGGGTTTACTAGTTGTTCCAGAAGTATCTGTTCATATCTCCATAGCATAGCGGATGCAAACTCAAGGTCTGTCTGTATGATTAAAGTTGCACCGGAACACAGCCACGCCCAACTGTCTGCATATTGTCTGGCTGCCTTAGGATTACCAGGGTAGGGTTGAATAGTTTCCACGCAGAGCACATAGCTATCAAAGCTGAAATATTAGTATCTAGTCCTTTACAGGAAAAAAAAAAAATCTGTCTCTCCTGCCTCATAGTACTGCTTTTTAAAATGACCTTTAAGAGGGTAATTCCTGTGACACTCAGCTCTCACAGTTCGGGGGTCATATTCACTGTAATAATTGCTTCATTCATGTTAAAAAAAATTACTGGCTCCTTTTTAATAATGCTGCCATGTGACCTTCATGCCGTTGCAGCCGGCTAACTGATGTGCTCCAAATAAACTGAGGGAGCACTTTCTAATAATACAAGAGCCCCTGTGAAGACGCCAAGCATAAGGTGATATCCTCTCTCCTGAGCAGCGATCTGTGGGGAGAAGAAAAGAGCCTGGCACCTACTTTTGGTGTTCAGTCTGCCCACAAGATTCTACCACAAATAAACTAGCCCGTCTCTTCGAAAGAGCATTCCCAACACTTCCATCAAGAGTGAGGAGAGCCACCAACAGGGGCACCTGTACCTTCAACAGCAGCAGGAGGTGGGAGAGAAGCGGAGACCTGGGCTTGCTCTGCAAGGTCCCTTCACGAAGCTCTTGTGAGGAAGTGAGTAAGTGACAACACCGAGGTTCTGCCTGCACGCAGCGAGCACTGCACCTGTGGGGTCACTCTGGCTGCTGGTACCTTCAACAGTGGCCTAGTTCTGCCACTCCTCCTGAACTCAGACATCTTGTTTATAAAACGAGGGAGGTGGACTAGACAGCCTTTTGGTTTTTTTGGCTGTGGCATGTGGGATCCTAGTTCCCTGACCAGGGATCGAACCTGTGACTCCTGCAGTGGAAGCACAGAGTCTTAACCACTGGACCATCAGGGAATTTCCGGACTAGACAGTATTGAACTGCAAAATTCTGGGGCTTTACTAGAAGGAAAAAAAAAAAGGACTGATGTTAAGGTACATGTACCTTATCATGTTAAGGTACATGATGCTTTCCTCAAAGAAGCATCTTTGAGGAAACGCTGAAAAGGTGAGCCTTACTTCTCAAATCCAGAGACCTATCTGGTGGATAGAGCCACCAGTACAGGCTCCCGCTCCAAACCCGGCTGTCCTGAAAGGAGGTCACCCTGGGCTGATAGAGATGTCACGCTTACCTCGTGGGCATCAGCGCGTGGCCTGGGAGAGCACCCACCCAGCTGCAGCCTCTATATCACACGCACCCGCTGCAGTGGCAAGATTCATGGCTCCCGCAACGGGCCAGTGTTATCCAATATGCATGAAATCTAAGTTTTCATCATTTCCACTGGTCAAAGGCCAGCGGGTGTTAAATCCCAGAATACCAGGATTAATGAAGGAGTCATTAAAAACCCAGCATTAAATCACTTCTTCAGCCAATGCAGAGAGTGATGTCTGTAATACATTACAAGGCTGATTAGAAAGAAACAAGTTCCAATTTAGAAATGAATTACCGGATTTTTTTAAAACTGGTTGGAGAGCTATCCCAGCAATTTTGTTATTACAGGGGAGACAGAGGGGGTGACATATAAGTTATGTCATGAATGGGAAATCATGATCTCCTGAAATCACATGAACAAAAATCAGGAGTGAATAACACCCTCAAGATCTAAACAAGAGGGAGAAGAGACTCCAGATACCCTGGCCAGGTTTCACCTCTTTAATCGTCTTAGATTTTTTTGGGAGGCTGTGGGCTGCGAGGCTGCTATCGCCTCGTGCCCTGGAAACAAGTTTACTCTAGAGAAGTTTTAGGACAATCCCAGTCCACTGAGGGCTTCCCAGGTGGCTTAGTGGTAAAGAATCCGCCTGCCGATACAGGAGACTGTGTCCAATCCCTGAGTCGGGAAGATACCCTGGAGGAGGAAATGGCTACCTGTATTCTTGCCTGGAAAATCCTGTGGACAGAGGAGTTTGGTGGGCTGCAATGAGTCACATAGGACTGAACTGACTTAGTACACACAATTTCATTCTCCAATCTGTTTTCAATCCCACTGTCCCGGACACTCTAGGCAAAGTGAACTCATTCTTCAGCTCATGCTTTCTGGAGCTGCCATAAAAAGTATACCTTCCAGAAAAAGATTACTCAGCTATGAAAAGGGAAGGTAAACTGTGCAGAGAGCTGGCTAGGGAGAGGAAGGGAGATGAGCGCTGACCTAATGAATGCTCTTGTAACCCACAATGAACACTGTCTTACTGTTGAACATTATCAATGTCAAAAAGGAAGATCTCAACTAATGCTGTAAGGATCTAAAGACGAAAAACAGAATGGGCACAGTTCAAACTATATACTCCAATCTTCCTGAGTTTCTGATGGGAAAAACACAGCCTCCAGGGACTTCTATTTACTTTTTATGGATCTGTCCTGGGACATTGCATTTATAAGAAAAACACATACCACCCAAGTTCTACTCAAGCTCAGGCTGAGATTCTCAGCCACACCCTCTCAAACACAATGCAGAACAAGGTATGGAAAACAGTGCCAATTCAAACTATCCAAGCCCCAAAAAACAAATACTTCCAGTCATTGACTCTTTCCTCTCTGCCAACCAAACCAAATTTGGAAAACAAGTCTTCCAAGGTTAAGAACAGACTCAAACATTTGTGTGTTATAAGCAGGGGCAATATTCAAAATATTTAACATTACAGTACGGGCTAGTTTGTTATACAAGTGAATACTAGCTGAGTACAAGCCCTGTTTATAAATAGTAAGGCGTGAAGGAAAACAGTCAGGGTCATAAGTGGGGTTACATCAAGAAGGGGCATCAACAGAAACAGCAAATCACTTGAGGATATTAGTATGGATTAAACGCAGCCAAATAATTATGCCTCAGTCATCTAAATACACATTATTAATTTCAGATATGTCAGTCTACTGCGCAAAATAGAACAGATAACTCTATTTTCTTTTGTTCCCCAAAGTATTTAAAAGACATAGTTTTGGTTAGGTATCAACAATATCACCACCAACAAAAGACACTAACACCCTTTACTGCCTAAGAGTTTCTGTTAAGGGGAAAATTTTAAAACATTACAACAGCCACCAAGCAGACAAAAATCTCTGAATTGGATAATTAGAGATAGGTGTAAAAGGAGTATCAGAGGTTTAATCACCTCACAATATTGTATATTGTTCCCACAGTAAACAATTTCAGGTCATATCAGTTGTGGTCAAGAATCTGCCTGCAATGCAGAAGCCGCAGGAGACCCAGGTTTGGTTTGATCCCTGGGTCAGGAAGATTCCCTGGAGGACGAAACAGCAACCCACTCTAGTATTCTTGCCTGGAAAATTCTAAGGACAGAGGAGCCTGGAGGGCTATGGTCCATAGCGTCACATTAGAGTCAGACACAACTGAGTGACTAAACACCACACCAGCTAGTAGCAACGAAACCACTCAAGTTAGTAGTGACCACTAGGAGTTAACTGTCTGATTTTGCAAATCCACAGACTTCCAAGTAAATCCAGGGTTTATGATCTGGAGGTTGAGCAGGGAGGGCTACACAAGAAGACAAATTCATACCAAGACTTAAAGCCAAGACTTTAACACTCCCTGTTAAACTTCTGTTAGGAACCTGAGGAGAAGTTTAAAGGAATTTTGCATTACTAAGAAGAGGTACATGAAGGAGGCATAATATTAGCAATACTGCTTATGCCACTTTCTCCTTCAGAAAAGGCAAGATTAGGGCCTTAGGAAAAGAGAGTGAATGACTTGCCAAGGTCACTCAATAAGCTGGAGGCAGAGCTAGAAATAACCATCATCCCCTTAGACCCAATGTTACTCTGCCATTCTGCACTTTTTTGAAGCATAGCTGGTATAAGAGAAATTAATGGAGGGAAAAGGCTGAGCTTAGGGAGTGAAGTGAACTGAGAAAACACACACGTGCGGCGTTATTTTTACTCTTCCCATTACCTGTATCTGCAACTTAGCTGAGAGCAGAGGAGAATGCTGGTTTTGGAAACTTGTTTCCTCTGGCCTTCCTTTCCTAGAGCTTATTAATGCTGGCGGCACATAGAATCACCATTCAGAATACCCATTCCGGGCCAAGAAAACTGGCATCTCTAGGGGTGAAAATCGGTATTTTTAAAACAATAAATATTAGTACCTGGTTTTTAAAATATAAGATAGCATCATTTTTTAAGAGTCCCAAGTGGTTCAGTCATGCAGTTTTGTGTGGGGAAAAAAAACAAACAAAAACAGCCCAGACAACTAACAGAGTCTTCTTTACAAGAATTCAAGAGGCCAAGGATGATGGACTGCAGCTTAAGGCCCCCAGATTCATAAAGCGTCACGTGTCAAAGGTCCTGGCATTTTGCAAAGATACAGAATCTAAGAACTGTGGGTAGAGAGCAGACCAAACTTTGGGACCGGTTCAGGAGCAGCAAAGGCATTCCTATTGGCTCTATTTAGGTCGCAGGAAGACAAGGACTTGGCTGTGAGAGCACCCAGGGAGAAGACTCCTCACGTCTGTCCCGTTAGGACAGAGCTGCCAGTCGCTGTGCTGCATTTCCTAGGCAGCTGTGATGACAAGAGCGCCCCCTCCAAGATGTAGGCACCACTTCTCAGGGGGATAGGGGACAAATAAGCAAATGCGTGGCCATTATGACAAAACCGGGCCTACGTATCCAGTTTATTATTAGCCTGACATTAACCACCACTTAAAAACAAAACAAAACCACCCGCCCACACAAACATGCACCCAAGACAGCAAATTACATAATGGCACTGGGAATGATCGGCTCCGACAGTGCGAGGAGAACCAGCCAAATCGCAAGGTCCAGTAAAGACCAAAATGGCAATAGGGAGAACCTTTTTCAAATCCTCTGTAGTTTTTGCTTTTTTTTTTTTTTTTTTTTGCATTTGCTGATATATATTGAAAATGCTTTGTTTAGAGGAAGGTGTTCAAGATAAGACCCCAGATTCTGGAGGGCTGTCAGTCTGCTACAAGAAAAACCCAGCCACTGGTAACTGGAAGAATAACTATCTTCTTCTAGATAATTTAGAAGAAAAACTGTTCTGGCACAGCTGGCTTCTCAGGGTGGAGGCTCAAGGGAAGTTCTCTCATGTGGGTCAGGAAGGAAAAATGGGCCGAGTAAGAATTCTACTAACGGCTCCGTTATGGTTTATGGCCCATAACCCAGCCAGCTGGCACCACACAAACAGGCAAGTCCTGTTTTGTTCCCCGGAATCCATTAGCAACTGGACCAAGCCCAACGTCAGTGTGGACAAGGTCTAGAATGTGGGAGCAGCTTTCGACTTTCACTGCATAAACAAAGTATACAGCTGCAGTGGGTAACGGCTCTAGAAATGAGTTTCCACCTCTGCAACCAAGTCTAAACAAAAATATTTTCAGGTGGTCAATGTTTTCCTAAGGATTAGAAGACAAACTGTTTTTTAACTTAAGGATTCTTCATTTTAATAGAAGCAACAAATGAACCCAGCATCACAATCAGGGTTTCAAGGTTTCCTTTTCTTTTCTCCTCTTGGGGAGAACAGGGGATTATTTTGGTTCCCAACTTTGAAATACAGTAAGCTACTCCGGAGCCTCTGTGATCAAGCCTCACTTAAATGGTCTGAGTGCTCTGTAGCCACAGGCCATGCTAAGTGACACACCATAGAACACAGTTTCAAAGCCAGGTTTCTAAGAAAGTGCTGACAAGCCTTTGAGTGCTTTACACAGGTGCTTCCTACTTTAAAGAAAAAGAAAGGTGATTTTGCAGTAAGTGTCAAGGTGGTTTTGTTTTGGGAGAAGGCGAGATGGTGTAAGAACAGTAATATAATTAATTCCCCTTGTTAATGACCTGATACATGATGGTTTATAAATCATGATTTTAACAGATTAGAAGCTCACATTAAGGCAATAGTTAG